AGCTGCCATATGGCCACTACCCACCTCGGACAAGCATGGTAATTATTGTTACAGCAGTGACAATATCTTAGTTATTCTTATTAACTGTTGTGAAGCAGCGGATCACCACGAGTTATGAATAAGAGCCTACGGTTGGCAGCCGTTTAGAGTAGCAGCACTGTAAACCATAGAAGAGGCGCTGTGCTGCATATTAAGAATAGTAAAGCAAGATGTCACATACCTAATGCCTTTCAGTTCAAACCCTCCTCTAATGCTTAGCTAAATATGAATTATATGGAAAAACAAATGGGAATGTGACTACCTATTTTATGTGCAACAATAGCCATGTTAGGTTTCTTAAAAGTTATTACAGGGAAATTATTATGGGAATTGGCTATGCCCACTCATATTTCTAAAGCCATTATACAATACATTATACTTTGCACAGCTATAATAAAATACTGTAACATCCTCTCCTTGAGACCCAATTTGCAGTGAGCTTGTTGGCAACTGCACACAAAAACAACAACACCAACATCCTGAGGGAAAATATGCTGCAAAAAACTATTCACTCTAATAATGGAAACAGACTATTTCACCACCATGCAGACTAGCAGGATTAGAGCATCATGATGCGTGTGCAAAACAAACAAAACCAGCCATTACAATAAACGAATTCACAACTCAAACATTACACATAATAGCATGACATTAGCAGCCATCATAAGATGACATGTTGCCAACAAACATCACATCTGTGAAATTAGCAGCAGTAACAGTGGTTTATGGCTACAGGTTGGTAGCAGAAGCAGCTCAAAAGACCTTGCAGTGTTCAATAAAAATGCAAAGGACTGTGTAAAGAAATGGGAAACCGTCATATAACCATCACGCTTCAGTGAAACGAAAAGAAGAAGCAGCAAGTTCTTACCTTAGACTGGTGAGATGAAGCAGCGACCAAGACATCTTAACATAGTACCAAAATCCTTGGGTCCTTAGGTTGTACTTAGGTTAAAACTGTGGTCCATGTATGACAGGAAATAATACCTCAGCCTTGAGGTGCAACTGTTGTTAACAGACAGAGCTAAAATAACTAGCCAATGGAGTGACTGGGACAGCACAAAATATATGATGTGCAATTGTGGGTATTTATTTTGTACTTTTTACTTTCTGAACGTCTTACAGGCTCTTTCCTCACAAGATGAGAGGTCATTTGAAATAATCTCTTTACTCTTATATTTGATGAATGAATAAATAACTATTCTCTGATTTCCCTTGGGCAAAGTCTGCATCTAATGCTGACTTACGGAAAGGGTTCATGAAGGGCTCAAAATGTCTGCGAGAGAGCCCTGGTGTTACTGAGTTGATTTGTTGACAGGTGTGCTAATTGCTAGAAGTGCTCAAATCAACGGCAGCTGTGTTGAAGTTGTACATACAACTACAATTTACTGAACAGCAGGTGGCAGCAGCGGACAAAGAGCACAGCTTGAATGAACCGCCCCTCGATGCACGTCACAGGGTGTAAACTATGTCACGTGTGAGCGTAGCAGCCAACTGGAGGTGACTACCTGAACAGGTAGGCTTCCCTTCCATAAAACATGTAAAAGAAAAAATGACTTTTCTAGACTATAACTCCTTTGTTCTTGTATTGTTAGTCAGAATGTCCGGATTAGCTCTAAAATCGACATCCTGACTCGCTTTGCATGAGAAAATGGTCCATGATATTTTGACTTGTCATTGTAGTTGAAGCACATATGAAACTAGTCACACTAACAATGGCTCTATTGAAACAAGAGAAAACGTCTTTTCCACAGCAGATAAGGAAAAGCACAAGTGGCATAACAATGGCATTAACAATGACTCCTTTCTATTGACCAGTGAGCCGGTGTGCACAACACCAGGGCACTGGAGCAAGTGACCCTAAATGGAATGAGGCTTTAATTAATGTTATTGATACACCTCTGCTTTTCTTACATGTTAGAATGTATTATTGATGCCAATAAATTCCACAATTTAATGGCTATTTACATAAAGGACATTTGAATCTAAAAAAAATAAGATTTGTTGCAGGTGATATAAAGACCTAAGTGCTAAAGTTGTTTAAATTATGAATAACAAGAAATGAAAAAAAATGTTTTCTCATTGCTTCGTTAGACAGGGAATGGTCATTGCCCCCAAAACAGTTAAACTTTGTAAAAATGTTTTTATATTTTCAATGTATTGGTCACAATAAAACTACATTTTGTTTCGCAAATTCCATCAACTGTCTTCTACATCACAGAACATATACAGAACAAAGTCTTTTTTATTACAAAGTATAAAATGTAGAAATTGAAGGGATATTTTTCATCAATGTACTTCATAGATAAGCAATAGCCTGTAACCGAATCCCCAACTTGCAAACAACAAAGATTGAATCGTAAACCATGGAGACACTCATATAAATGTTTGATTGTTGGCAGGGAATTTGACTTGAAACACTGTTCTATTGGTTCTGTTGTGACATTTATGAAAAGGAAGAAGATTGCCAAGTGGTTGACATTCTGAATGGATCAGTTTGGGGGTATTTACGATGCGATTCTCCCCGACAACATCACACAAAAGGGAAGAAATCATGCCAGGCCATTAGCAACGGTCCAGCGTCTGTGTGTGTGTGTGTGTGTGTGTGTGTGTGTATACACATGTATATGTGGGATGCGATGTGATGTGCACCCCTGCTGCTGGGTAACCCCACTGTGTGAGATCTGACAGCTCCCACTGCTGTCTCTATGACAGGATGAAAGAGCGTCTATGTGTGTGTGACTCAGATAGTAAATAAAAAGAGGAGGAAGTGGCCAGAAAGAAAGAGAGAAACCATCACTTATTCAAACAAAATAAATGCATTCACTCGAGTGAACGTCTCTTTGAAAGCTAGACGTCCCACATCCTTCTGAAACCCACAAGAAGCAACAACAAGGCCTGATGGTATCTGCTGGGCTGACCATTATACAAGAGAATAAAATCAAAGATTAAAACTCATTAAAAGTCTGAAATGAATTAAGCCTTCAGCGCCGTCTTCAGACAAGGAATGGCACCGTGGGAACCTTATAACTTCTCTCTCAAAGCATGCAAACATGAAGACACGAGGGCGCAGGACGGCTCCTCGGTGAACTTTCAGCTCACATGTTGAGCAACTATAAAGTCTTTCAAGTGTTGCTCAGTAAAATAAAGTGCACAGTGAGACTCAAGCCTGCACTTCAAGATAACTGGTGTACACTTATTTCCCACCTTTAAGTGAAAATGCAACACACTAATAAATGCACCCTTGAAAATCTATTAGGGATGCACTTTGCAGTTCGAGGGCCTCTTTGTCGTTTGGTTTAAAGCACTCCAAGCATAAAAAACTCTGCAAACATACAAGTTACCATGACATGTGTGAGGTGGTTCCTACTCTCTGAGAACTTTGATGTATTTGTAGCGTTTCTAAGCCCTTTGCCAAGTCTGGTTGTAAAAAGAAAAAGAAAAAGAAAAAGACTTCCATCAAATAGCAGGTACAGCTTACATGAAGTCCAGCATTACGTGTTAGTTCTTGACTGTGCTTAAAGTATTAAAGACTTATATATGGATTTCTGTGCAGCATGGGGGAACATGAAGGCAGATTTTGTGAATGGAAAATTATTTCTCAGCCTCAATGTGCAAATACAGATAAGGTATATATCCTCCCTTTGATTTACTGTGTAACTCGTCTTAAATTTATCGATGATGAAGCAAAAACAGCATGTGTTTTGCATCTGTATATGTTGCAAGCAAACCTCTAATCAATACGAACATTGATTCAATGTTTACACTTCCTAAATGAGGCTGGAGCCGGGTTCAGAAAGTCTTATCTCATATCTGACTTCACCATATTGTGGGGATGTGCTGCGTCCCCGTCTGAAAAATGCACGAGGATTTTCTCACCAAATCCTCTACAGGATCACTTTTAGCAGTGCCAATAAACTCTCAGTGAAGCAGCAGAAACCTGCAGGAATACCAGTGATGCAGGTTGGAAGTATCAACAGTTTTCAGCTGTAACTGCAGCTTGCTACCACATCCAGACGGTGAATTTTGAGAGAGCAGCTAAAAAACAAAAGTGTCACGAACCTCCCATGATTTAGAGCACGCTGTTCTGCAGTGATGTTCACTGTGCATTACAAAACTCAAGCGAGGGAGAGCTCGTGTTTTTGCTGTAGAGCAATCACTGCAGAATGTCAGGGGAATGATGTGAAGTTAAGGATTTATGGAAAACAAATGGATGGGCCGACTGTGGTTATTCTACTTTATTAGATCAAGAAGGAAAATAACTGTAGTTGCCGTTGTTTTCCCTATATCACTCACTCCAAAGAGCTTCAAATGAAAAGGATGTATTTACACATCCCAGCAGAGGACAGTTTGCATATCCACGTTTTTGAACACATACGCCAAGAAAGTGGACAATTGCTCATTCTCAATGCGGCACGCCGTGTCATATCTGCTTAACTTAAAAGCCGTTTGCTTTGAAGTGAGGCTCGACTCGCACACAGAGCAACATTTTAGTGATGCATGACTGTTCTCCTTTGCAGCCTGCGGATGACTCATGCTTCCGAGTGACTATCAGGGTATACAGCTGAGGGCAATGTTTGTTTCTCCCAACACACCGAATGAAAAATCAGACGTTTTCATCACTGTGTGGCTCTGAAGGCCCCTCTCCTGAGCACGCACAGACGTGTTTTGCTTCTCAAGTTCCATTCCTGGTGGAATATATATATATATATATATATATATATATTGCACGAGGATTTTCTCACCAAATCCTCTACAGGATCACTTTTA